GTCTACCAAGTCATGTATGCATATGAAAGTGTTGATTTTCCCCGGAACAATGTAAATCCAAACCGTATGCATGTTAGCATACTCCAAGAAACTTTTATTAATTTCTTTCCTAAGGGAAGATACAGTAAAACCGCCACTAGCATCAAGACTCCAGCACCACTCACTACACTCGAATTACCCCATAATTGTTGCTTCTAAGAAAAGTGTATTAAGATCAATATTAAAAGGCTCCAAATCCTTACACACTTGCTTATTCTGCCCTAAATTGTACTCCTTTACCCAGTAGTATCGTCACTCCTAGCCCCCCGTGATCCCCATAAATGCAAGTAATAACCTTTTTCCAAATTCCTTATATATCATCTTTATAGCGTCACTATCACTTCGTGATAAGAGCAAGGTTACATGCGCGTAACCTTCTAATCTCTAAGCCCCTTAAAGCTTTGGAGTTCATGGTTTCCTGTCGTGCAATCCAGGTGATCTTTTTTTTTTTTTTTTTTTTGATCTAAGGAAGTATCCCATAAGAACCCATTACAAATACTTTCAAGCTTTGAAATTATCTTTTTAAGGACTTTAAAGCGAAAAGAAAAATTTTCCAAGGCTGCCAAGAACGGACCTTATCAAGGTTAGTCTTAGGCCTGGCAATCGTGTCGTGTTCGGGTTGGCGTGTCGCGGGTTGGCGGATCAAAATATGTCAACCCAAACACGACCCATTTAAATATACAGGTCACGGATTGGCGGGTTTGGAACATAAACCCATATATGACCCGCCAACCCATTTATCTATACGGGTTCACAGGTTGGCAGGTTCGTGGGTCCAAATTTTAAACATTTAAGTCTTAAACATCCCAATGAAAATTAAAAACATTTATAGAAACATGTTACAGACTTAGCTTTAGAGGTTACGACTTACAACCTTAGACCATCCACCACGAGTCAAAATGTCAAAATAGTCAAATGGTCTATGAATCAATGGTATATATTATATAATACTTATTAAATATTAATACTTGATATATAAATACATTTAAAAATAAAATAATTTTTTTATTGAGAATATAAACGGGTTGGCGGGTCAACCCGTTTATTTTTTGAGAAACTCATATATGATCCGTTTAATAAATGGGTTGGCGGGTTAACGGGTTGGCGGGTTAAAAAACTCAACCCAAACCCATTTATTTCGTATCGTGTTGCGGATCGTGTCGTGGGTCGTGTCGAGAATTACCAGCCGTAGTTAGTCTCCCTCCTATGGATAAAGTTCTAATTTTCCACATTTAATTTTTTTTGGAACTTGTCAATAAGAGGAACACAAGTCGACACTTTAAAAGACTCCCCACCCACCGACATACCAAGATAATAGAACAAACGTTCGCCTTAATGAAACTTCAACGACCGAGCCATAAAAGATACCTTACGTCTAGAAACCCCAATACCTAAAATCTTGCTCTTCCGAAGGTTCACCTTTAGGCCAGACGCAAGGTGCAAGTTAGGATTCTCTTAATATTTCTAGTGTAACATCCATAAAATTTTAAAAAATCTAAAACTTTTACAAAAGTCCAAAAATCATCATTTATTACATATTGTTTTCAAGATAGGTTTCACATCAGAGTTTTTCTCAGAAATCATAACACAAAATATGAGGAGGTGCACGATCAAGCCTTCACCATTTCGCGATCATATGAGGTACCTGAAACATAATAAAAAAAAAAACTTTAAGCCAAGAGCTTAGTGAGTCTTTCCCAAAATACCACCACATAAAATAATAGACCATATCATGCATAAATGAGCCTTCAGCCTGACTGAACCGCCTCGCAGGGCCTTCGGCATGATTGGACCGCCTCGCAGGGCTTACATCTTATCCGAACCGCTCGTCGGGCCTTTGGCCTGACTAGACCGCCTCACAGGCCTTCAATCTATCCGGAACGCCCTTGGTCTGTT